TCTGGGGTTACAGTAATAAGAATAATATCTGGGGTTACAGTAATAAGAATAATAACTGGGGTTACAGTAATAAGAATAATATCTGGGGTTACAGTAATAAGAATAATATCTGGGGTTACAGTAATAAGAATAATAACTGGGGTTACAGGTGTGATCGCGGCTGTGTCTGTTCTCTACAATAGTAATAATATAGTAATAATGGTAATAGGAATAACAGTAATAGGGCGGCACGGTGGCTGAGTGGATAGCACTCTCGCCTCTCAGCAAGAAGGTCCTGGGTTCGAATCCTGGCCGGACCAGGGCCTTTCTGAGTGGAGTTTGCATGTTCTCCCCGTGCCTGCGTAGGTTTCCTCCGGGTACTCCGGTTTCCCCTACCACTAAAAATATGTACAATAGGTCTGGCATGCGCCTCCTGTTCGGCGACCCCGCTCCCATCTCTGTGTGGAGTGAGAGGACAAGTGCCCAAAAAATAACAATTGTAAACCGCTTTGTGACTCTGGTCTGTGAAAGGCGGTATATAAATAAAGCTTACTTACTTACTTACTTACTAATAAGAATAATAGCCACACAGTGCGAATACGTACACAGTCAGAAGTTAGGTTTGAAAAGCGGCTCCGAGACGCAAAAGTTGAAATATAAGTTTAATAACATGCTAATACGATAGTCTAGTTTTTTCCCACAGTTTAGCATTGGGCTAATATGTGGCGTTTACGTTCGGCTCATGTGTGGGATCGCGATGATATTCAGTTTATATGATGCGTTTGTGAGAACTAATGAAGTGTCATCACTTACCGTTCTCTCGCTGTATGTAATAAAGATGGCGGTGACTCCAAACTTTTCCATTCGCTCTAGACACGCCCCCATTTTTCGTCAGGTAACGTCACGTGACCTTCTGTATGTTCGGACTGCGTTCGGACTTTGCCGAAAAGCCTTTGATCTCGTTCGGATTGTGTTCGGACCTCGTTCGGACCTTTTGTTATGTGTTAGGACCTTGTTCGGACCTGGAGACAGTCCATTTACTGGAGGGTACGGACTATCTCAGTGACAACAAAATGATACATTCTAGTAGTTATCTTAGACTCGCTGTACACGGCCTTGTCATCTTGAATATCCGCGAAAAAAGAACGAATACCAAATTGTAAACAACTTACAGCGTTGAAACGTACCCACTCTGACGTCACCAAGGGCTGTGAAGTTTTTTCGTTTCTAAGGGCGTTGCTATGGGGTTATTTCGATTTGGGGGGATCAGACAAAAAAAACAACAACTGATTTTGAAAACTTTAGTAGTTATCTTCTAATATAAAATGGTATTAAAACTGTATTTCTAAATAAATCAAACCCGTCATAAGGTCTTTAAAACCGGAAATGTACATTTGGAAGCTAGGTTCAGGGCACCTTTCCCACGCACTGTTAATTTGATTTGTTATGCAGTTTTTGATTCCATAATTGAGATTTCAAACAGAAGACAAGTTCTACTAGACTACTACTAAGTCCAACAATAATGAATACTATAGAGTTAACGAGCATCATGAAAAAGTGTGTTAAACGAGGCACACTTTTCCTTGGTGTTTTCCCTGCAGACCGATTGCCTCAGGTCATAACCCGCTATCCAGCATTCGTTATCATTAACACCCACCCATCAACACAACCGGGACAACACTGGTCGGCCGTCTACTTTTCTAGTGATAAATTGGGGTGTTTCTTTGATAGCTTTGGAAACGGTCCAGATTATAAAAAGTTCCCAAATAGAATTCATAGATTTATCCTGCAGAACAGTCAGGGTTTTTACCATTCCATAAAACAGGTCCAGAGTCATCTTTCTACAACCTGCAGACAACACTGTTTTTTCTTTACCACATGTTAAAAGGTTTAAGTTATCAAGACTTTATCCGTATGTTTGATCCTAACTTAGCTTGTAACGATTCAAGGGTATGTCGGTTTGTTAATGATATACAATGTATGATGCAATGTGTGATCCATAATAAAATTCATTGAAATATTTAATCATAATCTTTATTTTCCATTTTGCAAACAGAGCACATAGAATGAAAATAAAATGTTCCTTAAGACTAGTAAACATACAAAAAAAAATTACAAGCATTTCATAATATTTGACACATTTCATTGATACATTTCATGAATAAGAAAATTATATAAAAAAATAAAAAAATAATTATACAGAACAGTTTAAAAACTTAACCAACTTGTTGCACTCTTGGTGTCTTAAGGTTTGGTGAATTTTGGTGACGGACGTAGTAATCTTTTACGTTTAACACTTGCTAAGGGCGTTGCATAAACAGCAGAAGGAAGCACATTTTTTAACACGATAAGTGTTCTATGACCCACCGTGTTTGGAATTACAGACTGGAATATTAATTTTTGCTAGTGTTGTTAAGTGTCTAGAAGTGTCTCGTACATTGTGGCTAGCTGTATCATTGAGAGATCAAAAATGAGAAATGAGATCAAAAACATGAGAGCCCTTTACAACGGTTATGTTAAACACAACTTCATCATCACCTTTCCACGTAACCACACGCAGTCTCTTTGATAATTTCTCCAATATTAGCTTAGATTTTTTATGATTATTGAGGAATATGTCTCACAACCTCTGCTTCTACATTGTCAGTGTTTACCCCAGCATCTTCAATAGTAGTAGTGGTAGGCATGGCTAATGTTAGAACAGATTTTTCACTCCTCTTTTCTCACCAGCGTTAGAAAACGTTGTAAAATGTGTGCATATTGTTTAGCTTTTTCATTTACGTCCATAGGTGAATTAGCAAGTTATTTTGCTTGGTGGTACAGCAGGTCCCATTTCGTTTTGTCGCCTTTCACGCGTGAATAGCACGAGACTCACGTGTGAAACATGCGTCTTTTTTTTCCCCCAGTGATGCTGCAATGACCCAAACAACCACCAGGTGGCACTTGTGAGCAGGGTTAGGAACATTGGCTTCTCCCCGCTCTTTCTTCTCTCTTCACCGGACAACTTTCTGTGGCTTTATAGCTCAATGATAAGGAGCTAGACTCTGGTGCGAGAGGACCCGGGTTCAAGTACAGGCTATGACACTTTTGATTTTGTTGACGTTTAAATTTTTTCTAAAACATACTTAGTAATTAGGCCAACACATTTAAAATAGTTGCTAGACTGTAGTAAACTTGTAAAACGCGCTGGGTGTCACACATGGCTGGGGGCATTAACGCACGGGTTGCCACTATTCATTCTATAAAAAGTCCACTTACATTTTTAATGTAGTCCATTTAAACTTAAATGTATTTGTCAGACACACATCCACACGTTTAGCGGCAGAGGAGGGGGAAGCCACAGACGCTTCTCCCCTCGCTCCTCTGATCAGAATGAGAGGAAAACTCCTGTTGAAAATCAAAGTCACCTGATGCGCACAGGCTCTTCTGTCTTTAGGACAGATAGATTTCAGATAGAAATTGCTACTCAAAAGGCGCTCTTAGACGCTGCTGTTGTAGCGAGGGCTGACGCAGCCTCATGCCGCTCCCGATCTCGGCGGAGTTTTTGAAGTGTACAGTAACTCTACCGAATACAATTACTCAAAATGAGTATTCTAACAATTTGAAAGTTATACCAGTTATACCACTTACTTTGAAATAGCATTCAGTAGCAACACTTTTAAACACAAAAGACATTCTCACGATATTGCTAATACAAATTTATGATGGGGGTAAAACTTTCTTTCTCCGTGTTTTACAAATATAATGGAGTTGGCTGATAAATGTCTGCTTAGTTTAAAGTAGAACAGTTCAGTCTAACTTTAGACTCAATTGTGTAATTGTCACTGCAGTGACTTGAGCTGCTACAGAGACATTTGAGCTAAATGACCGCTATAAACGGTTTGATGTCTCTGTCAAACAACATTCAATATTTTATACTTTGCTGCAGACTGTTACTGTAGGCTACACATGTTTTTCCTTCACTGAAGCAATTATTGCTCTGCTAATGTTTGCATGAACTTAGTTTGCATTTTTAAAGGCCAACAAAAGGCAACGTAACGCTGCCCCGCGCGTGTGATGCGTCGCTTTCTTTTCACTTAACTCCCTAAAATAAAATAAAGATTTAAAACGGCTTACATGCATCGACAGCGGCTCCAGCCGCGCTCCTCTCTATCCCATAGAATAAGTCAGAAAGGAACTTTTGAGAAGTGTTTTTTTAATTACAAAATAAGGAGTAAGTAAAAATAATAAAGTAATATACAGCTGTATTGTTACAGTACTTCCAATACAGTGTATGTACAGTGTTTTACAATCCTTTGGCATTCCTGCGTGTTGTACGCAGAAATTCGTTGATTTTGTCCACACATTCTTTCAGTTCTGCCCTGTCCATGCCAGGAAAATGTTTCTTCAGTGTGCCAAGCACAAAACTCTTCACATTTTGAGGCAGTTCTAATTTGCCTCTGGATCCATCCCAATTTGTAGTTTTGGTCCATGCCTGGTAGTTCTCCTCCGAGATAATGTGCCTGAAGAGCAGGCATCCATATCTGCCAACTTGGCCGAAGCTTTGTTGGTGGAGTCTAGCATGGTCTTCTGGTCCAAAATGACGCAAGCTCACATCTGGGCGTTGGAGGGGAATTTCGAGGCTCTCGTTGAAAGAACAAGATAGGGCCAATGGCGACATCTGAAAGTCTGAACACTCTAGTTCTGGTGCTGGTGTTGAGGCGCTTCTGAGGATTGGTCTGACTGGTGTGGAGTGACTAGGCTTTGGTCTGACAGATGTGGAGTGAGTGGTGTTTGGTCTGATTGGTGTCGATTGCAGCTGCCCTAAGCCAGCTCTCAAATCTTGAACCAGGAGTCCGCTCTGACTGGTCTCTCTCAGCCCCTGCAACTCTTGTTGGAGGTTGTCTGTCTCCGCTCTGCTGGCTGCTGTCTCCGCTCTGCTGGCTGACAGGTCAGCGTGCAATTTTTCATTCTCAGCAAGCAGCTGACTTACTCGAGCTCGTTCCGCAGTAAGCTCCGCTGTCCTCACGGCTAGACGCTGTTCAATGTCTGCCATCCAGCGGTCCTTATTGTCACGCACCAGCGACATGGAAACCGCTGCCTGTATTGAAATTGAGAAAAGTCATGAGTCGTGGCTTAGTTAAGCGAGGCTGCCTGGCTTATTGGCTATTATACACTACACACAATACAGGATTACACTTACCGCTTTTTTTGTGACGAGACGCTTTGCTGTTTTGCCTTGCCGCAAAGATGATGCTGGCCAACGTTTGCCTGGAGTCTGTAAGAAACATTGCAAAGACATTAGAGGCTGTGGCATTGTTTAATATATTACATACTCCTAGGGCCTAATAACATTTAGGCTACATTTAACAACGTACCCGTTTTTTCACCACGGCTCGAGGTGAGTTTTCGTTCCGTGGGAAGAGAGTCTTGGCGACTCTGGAAGAGCGTTCGCGGTAAAAACCTTTGGCTTCCATGCTGTAGCAGTGTGTCATTGGCTAATGAGTCAGGCAAGTACATAAAATACATTTCGTATTTTTAGAATATCGTCATAAAGTGGTTGCCAGCATGAATATATGTACACAATGTTTTCAATTTTATGAGATATTAAAACGTCCGCATTTTCAATAATGTCTTGCCGCAATTTGATGGTCCGCTTAAAACAGAGCTAAAAAGGATGCTGCAGCCGATTTGTATGTTCAACATGTTCTCAAACTTCCCACATCGTTAAGTGTGACATTTGTGTGTTGGTCGAGGCCTACTGCAGTTTGCCACTCTTTGGCTTTTTCGAGGAATTTACTTTGCGTATAGATGGGGTGAAATGCATGAGCGAGAAACAGGAAAAGAGCGTTGTCAGTATTGGGTGGATTATAAAGAAATTTACCTTCATTAATATTTCATCGTACGGTATTGCCTCTGGTCTGAGACGCGCTCCGCCGCTTTGAGAATGGGCTTTGAGTCACAATTAAGGTAATTTCGTCTTCTACAATGGACTTGTGGTTACTTTGTAATACTTTTTCCACTTCATCTAAAAATGGTCTGTGTTGTAGTCATTGTCAGTCATTCACTTTGGTCATTAACATGTACAACACCATCTGCTTGTATGTTACTTTGCGTGCTCATTCTCACTTGTTTCACTTTGGTCGTTAACATTCTCCCGATCCGGACTTGACTCTGTGTGTACTATACAACTTCTTGAAACAGTTGGAACGTTATTGTGTAGATTTAAAACAGAGTTGGTAAAAGCTGGGTCGTCATTTTGAGTATTATCCATTTCTATAGCTGGACTGGCACTAGTTAGTTATTTGAACGGTGTTGGGTTTGTGGGTTGAATAGAAGTTGGATCTTCAGAGTTTACAGACATCTCTCTACTTAATGATTCAGAAGCAACATTGTCTGTATTTGCGGGACAAATGCTATTGAGTGGGGGTGGGGCATCAGGCCTGTCTGTTGTGACATAACTCGCTCTTATTAATCGGTCGACAACCGGGAACGTATTACGTACTCTTCGATAATTTGTGCGAATTAATCGGTCGACTGATGAGTAAGTGTTAGGGACTCTGGCATTACTTATTTTTTTGGTAGGCGATTTACTCATGCTCGATTGGATTTCTACTGTTTTTCCTTGTTTTCCTTGTTTTTAACTATTTTTCTGTAGTCAAATTATGTATTTGCATTTCCATTTTCTGGTTTTGTGCTTCTAATTGACCTATATGTATATCAGCTTTCATGCGTTGGGTTTCTAATTGACCTATATGTATATCAGCTTTCATGTGTTGGGTTTCTAATTGACCTATATGTATATCAGCTTTCATGTGTTGGGTTTCTAATTGACCTATATGTATATCAGCTTTCATGCGTTGGGTTTGCAATTGGTGAACTTGTATTTTTAGCTGCTTTATTTTGTTAAATACTAACAACTGTGTGCTTTTGTCTATAGCGCAACATTGAAAACACCCTGCCTGCTTGGTGTGCGTCACTAGTACAGCGTGCCTCGACTAATTCCACTTCAGAACGTACGTGGGACAGCTCTGCTTTCACCGCTGCTTTTTCACGTACGTTTAACAACTGCTGTGTATTCTCTTGATGGGTATTCACCTTAGTCGTAGACGCTTCATGGGCCACGTGTGGGTGACGGGGTGATACTCTATTCACTCGTGGATCCTGCGTTGGCTCATGATTTGAGTGCACAGATATTTGCTCATTGAGCTCCGGGAATGCCGATCCTGTATTTGACACGTCTTGATAGTTGGGTGCTACTCCATCGGCCCCTATGACGTCGTCTACGTCCCCTATTGCAAAATCCAATATGCTAGAATGCTCCTTTAACAGCGGTTGGTTCTCTGTGGATTCACCTCCCGCTGATGTACTAAAAATAGAGACAAAAATTATACCGTTATCATTACAAAATAATAATATGTAACTCACCTTTCATCATCATTGAGTGTTTGCTGTCCAATACTGTGCGACAGGCTTGATCTAGAAGGTAGATTTCCAAGGTTTATAAAACATCTTACAAACAATACTTAATATATGCATGTACTTACGGAGCTAGACTTGAGTTGCGGTTATTTCCTTGTTTTAACTTGCGCATCAACGGTAGTGATTTCCTTGATAATTTACCAGTTCTGCAAAGGAGTTCAAATTAAACATCTGGTAAAGACTTTGAGGAAACTATCATCTTACCGTATTTCATCAAGTGGTTGTCTCCCTCTCGAGATTTTTGGTGGCGGTGTTACAAAATCCTTCTCAGCCTCACTTTCAAAATGAGGTAATAAACGGCCTTTGCCTTGACAATCTAATTAAGACATAAAATGAAGAGCACATATACAGTAAAAGACATAATAAGATAAGATATTCTTTATCTCACAAGGAGGAGAAATTTACATTTACATGGATAGAAACACTCAGATTGTGCAAAAAAGGGAGGAAATTTGCAAACATGTTAAATACAGGATATATTATGTAAGTAGATATAAAGGACACCGCTATTGAGCAAGTGGTGAAAAGGTGGTAGTGCACCTTATTTTCCAAAAGGTGGTACTTTGAATACCTAATGAGTTGTCCTCTGGTTGACCCTGTGTGTGAGCTAAAACAATGGGTGCTTCACTGTTTAACATCTAAGGAGTACTGTAAGTGATTCACTGAAGCATAGAGACAGTGGTATCTTAAGATATTTTATTATTGAATAGAGCTCTGTGTAAGATCAGTGCTTGATTACACCATGTTATTTTGTTTATTCTAAGGTGGTACAAACAGTGTTAGCCAATCCCGACAATGTTAATGGGAGGGTGTACTAACAGCGAATCAAAATGAAGGGGTTGGGAGGATGGACCTATTACGTCCAATCAGGGTGTTACATGTAGTACCAAGTGGTGAAAAGGTGGTACAAACAGTGTAAGCCAATCATGATGATGTTAAAGGGAGGGTGTTATAACAACCTATCAGAGAGGGGTGATGGGAGGACTGTCTACAACCTCCAATCAGAATGATGGTGGTTTGTGATAGGTTGATCTGATTTAAGGTGGGTACAGTAAGGGTGTTATATAAGCCTAGGATTACAGAGTAGAAAATAACTTTTTTTTTTTCCTTTGAAACCTCATCACTCAACAACAATGGCTACTATTTGTCCTCAAAGATCTCAGACGGCTACCCAGAAGTCACCGAAACGGCGCCCCCTACGGCCGCTCACAAGGAAAGCTCTCAAGCGTAACCCCTACACCGTGACGCAGCGTGGCAGAAGTGATTCAACGTATACAATTACGTATACGGCGGGGTATGTGATTTTTGGGGAGGAGCGCATGTCTATATTGAGTTGGTTTCATTTTAGGACCCACTGCAACGCTGTAAATTTAGCAATGGTTAAAAATGTAGAGATCGACATTTTTGGGGAGAGGCTAATAAGGGGGACTACGAGCTGATGTTTACGAACGACCCACAAGATGTAGAAAACAAGGGGCTTGTGCAAATTAAATTACATAACCATGCTGATTGGGAACCTTACCGCCAAAACTGGTGAATATTGTTTCTATACAGTACAGAGACTGGCGCGAAGTATCTAGAATATTTAGCAAAATTGATAAGGCTTTTCAAAAAGATTTCTACATGGAGTTGGAAACGGTCAAAAAGCGACTACGATACCTTGAAACGGAGACTGAAGCTGCTAATCTGTGGTTCTCTCTGAATACAACAACAAGAGATTATGGTAAGTATTACTAATGTATTTATTTTTCTATAATGAGTAATAATGTCTATATTCTACCAGGAGTGACGAAGCGCTCCCTGAGGGTGGTGAATCAAACGATGAAAACACACCACCAACAGGTACGGTTATTTAAAGATATTCTGTGTTTTATTGATACCCCTGTATGTTCTTTAAAAGATGGAGGTGAAACCGATGCGACTGATGATGAATTGGAAATCTCACTCCTCCCTGTACCACTCTCCCCGGTCCCCGGTGATGACAATGCTATAGCTTATGGTGAGTATATGTGATTATTATTTTACCATTTTTATTGTTGTTACTAACAAAATGTTCTTTTTTTGTTTTTTATTTTAGCTGACCCACAGAGTGCGGAGATGGAGCCAGAAACCCCTGCAGAGTTTGAACCAATAGAGTTCACAGACGGATTGGAGCATTTCATCATGCATCTGCGGAAGATCCTTCTACACTTGATCGAGGCCCAGATGATCAAGAGCTGGAAGGCACAATGTTATGGCTGTGAGGTAGATCACCCCAGTCAAATTCAACACAGCTGTCTCGAGAGATATCCCGAATACTTTTTTCATACCCTGGGTGAAAAACTGATTCCTGAATTATGGAACCCACGTTTCATCCCTGCTGTGGAAGCTTATCTTGAAACACAAAGCGTTGTGATACCTGAGTGGCACAGTGGCTGAGTGGATAGCACTCTCGCCTCTCAGCAAGAAGGTCCTGGGTTCGAATCCCGGCCGGACCAGGGCCTTTCTGAGTGGAGTTTGCATGTTCTCCCCGTGTCTGCGTAGGTTTCCTCCGGGTACTCCGGTTTCCCCTACCACTAAAAATATGTACAATAGGTCTGGCATGCGCCTCCTGTTCGGCGACCCCCCTCCCATCTCTGTGTGGAGTGAGAGGACAAGTGCCCAAAAAATAACAATTGTAAACCGCTTTGTGACTCTGGTCTGTGAAAGGCGGTATATAAATAAATACTTACTTACTTACTTACCTAGACAACGCGTCATAGGCGCCATCGAAGCTCTATTGTACGGGTTCACGCAAGAAGACGATTTGAATGCTGTAATACAAGATATGCTGGATTCACTAATTGACGAGAAAAGTTTTCTTGATGAGGCACTGGATGTGTGGGAGGGGAACAATTCCTGATTCTTTTTTTTGTTTTAAATCTAATAAAACATCTTTTATAACGTCATTGTCTCAAGGTTCTTCAACATGGAAGGTACTCTTAGTAAAATATACAATGACCCGAAGCATCCTGAGGGTCTAGGCGGTTTTAATAATAAGTTGTACAAGGTTGTTAATGAATTGGCGGGGGTTAATATTACAAGGCCTGAAGTCAAAAACTTCTTGCTGAAACGTTTATACACTCCATACAACACCTAGGATACATTTTCCAACAAACAGAGTATTAGTAAATGGTATAAACAACCAATTTCAGGCTGATTTAGTGGACATGTCTGAATATGCTAATGAAAACGATAATGTTCGCTATTTACTAACATGTATAGATGTATTTTCAAAATATGCGTGGGTGAAATGTCTCAAAACCAAAAAGGGTCCAGAGGTGTCAGAAGTGTTTAAGCAAATTCTAAGTGAAGGACGGATTCTCTCAAACTTCAAACAGATCATGGAACAGAATTTTATACTAAGCATTTCCAGAACGTGTTGAGTGCCTATCAAATTCAACATTTTTCCACGGGGAATGAAACAAAGGCCAGCGTGGTTGAGCGATTCAACCGGACTTTTAAGACCCGGAATAAATATGCATTAAATATGCAATAGGTGACACAGTGCGCATATCTAAAAAGAAAGGGGTTTTTCGTAAAGGATATGAGCAGAGCTTTACAGACGAATATTTCATAATAGCTGAACGCATAGGCCGAACACCACCTGTCTATAGATTAAAGGATGTATCAGAGGAGTTATTACAAGTGACTTTTTATGAAACAGAACTGCAGCGTGTCATTATCGATCATAAGAGTTTTTAAAATTCAGGACATTTTAAAAACAAAACGTGTGGGCAAAACTAAACAGCATTTTGTTAGCTGGATCGGCTGGCCAAAGCAGTTTAACTCTTGGATAGATGCTAAAGACGTTGTAGACATCGCACGAAGAGCCAATGAATCATAATGATGGATTTTATGTCACCCTCGCAAGCAACGCTTCTATGGAGGTTTACCCAAATAACAAAATATGACAATTTAGAAACAAACTTGCTCGACCGCTCTTATTAACAGAGCCCTATGAAGTTGGTTCAATTGAAGTTCAATATCCTAGAATTTGGAAATCTTTCGATGAAAGAGCAGCAAAAATCACCATCACCACACACAAAGGAAAGTCAGGCGCTGTAGAGATTACAGTAGGGTTTTACGAATCCATGCATAGAATAGTGAAGGAAATTAATTATGCTTTATCAACTAACGCGCTAGCGGGGAAGATTTACTTTCAATACAACAACATTACCAACAAAATTAATATCCATGAAGCAGCAGGACACACGTTGACATTTTACGGGTCATTAGCCATTATCTTGGGTTTTGAAAATCCCGGAAGCGTGTTCATACCCACTCACCAGATTAAACCGTTCACAGCGCCACACCCAGCCGACATTTACGCTGGATGTTATAATATATTTATATACACCGATATAGTGGACTATCAGCTGGTGGGTGACAGCCACGCCCCTATATTAAGAGTGATAAACATTACAAATCAAAATGTGCCATATCCAACGGTAACCTATGATAAGCCTCATTATACTCCCGTGTTTAAATCAGTCATAGACTACGTTGAAATATCTTTTAAAAACGATCAAAACACTCATATTCCATTTTTATACGGGAAAGTAATTTTGAAACTAGATTTTAGACCTGTTAAAGGTTATTCCTAACAATGGGCTATACACCGCACAGAGTGGATGAGTCAAAATATGTCGCTTACTACCTCTCTCAGGCTGGAGGGGACATGCCAGGGTTTAGGGGAGCTCACACACAATATGGCAGTGGACAATTTATTTATTACTGGGACAGTGCATATTAATGAACATTTCTGTAAATATGCCAGAATTAGCCAAGTGGCTATTTTTCCTCCGTAGTCCCGTGTCTCCTGAAAGATAAAAACATGTTTGCTACACAGTTAAAATAATGTGAGATATTTACAAGGACAAGACAGGAAAACATACAGTCACACATCATTCAACAAACAATACACAATCATAAGGAGACAGACACAGAACACATACAGGCGCACACAGAGCAAGCGGTCAGCAGGGGGCAGCGAGAGCAGGCGGAGTCAGTACTGACAGGTTTGATTATCAATGAGCCAGTGTTTTAACTGTGTTTGTACGTGAGGTAAGAGGGTGCATTTCTGATAGTTGTGGGTAGGAGGTTCCAATCTGAAGTGGCACGGACAGAGAAAGAAGATTGACCAAATGTGCCTTTCCTGAGGGGGGTGATACAGTCCCCTCTCGCTGCCCCCCTGGTCCTGGTGTGGGTGCTGTTTCTGGTATTGATGAACTGACTGAGAGGTGGGGATGAAAGACCATGAAGAATTTTATAGACCAGACAGAGATTGGAGAACTTGACCATGTTATCAAGAGTGAGAAGTTTGTGTTTGTGTAGTATGGGACAGTGGTGAGAGTGATGGGGTTTCTTGTCCAGAGGTTTTACAGTCCGTTTGTAGAGTGAGTGCAGGGGTTTCAGGGCTGTGGTGTTCGCTAGGGACCAGGTGGGGAGACAGTATGTGATGTGGGACAGAATCATGGAGTGCATAAACATTTTCGCTGCTGGACTAGACATTTGGTGGCGGATGTGTTTAAAGTTGCAGAGGTTGTATTTAATTTTATTGCATGTTTTTTTATGTGAGCTTTGAATGAAAGGTGTGAGTCAAATATTATTCCGAGGTATTTGTATTCTGGGACGATCTGTAGCCTGTTGCCTGAAACTATAACATCTGGATCTGTGCATGGGAGAGATTTGTGAGAAGAACATTGCAACTGTTTTGGATGAGGCAGGAGTGATTTGAACCAGGATGAAATGTGAGCCATGGAGTTAGTGAGTTTTTAGCAACCTGTGAAGTGTTATTGCCATGTGTGAATATTACTGTGTCATCGGCGTACATGAGTATGGGAATGTTGCAGACATAGGGGGGGGTCGATAATGTAGAGGGAGAAAAGTAGAGGAGCTAGTGTGGACCCTTGAGGAAGACCGGTGGAGAGACCTGTTGCGAGTAATGTGAGAGATATGATTCAATCCATTTTATGAGAGAGGGAGAGAAATTGAATGTGTGTAATTTTGCCAGAAGGATTTTGTGGTTAACTGTATCAAATGCCTTTTTGAGGTCTAAGAAAACAGCACCCACCACCCCTCCCCTGTCCAGCAGTGCTCTGATGTTCTCTGTGAAGTAGCAGGTGGCTGTTTCAGTGGAATGATGGGCTCTGAAGCCAAACTGCTTTGGGTGGAGACTGTAGCGTGTGGTGTTAAGGTGTAGGGATGTTTGTTCTGTTCAGGTTAAGGTGTGGGGATATTTGTTCTGCAACTAATTTTTCTGTTATTTTAGAGACTGAAGGTAGGATGCTGATAGGTCTGTAATTGTCCATTACATATGACATATTCATGAGTTTGGTGATGGGGGTTGTGATAGAAGTGGAGATGTCCTTTAATATGACTGCGTTCATGCCCAATATGTCTTTGCATCTGGATGATCTAAGTGATTTTATGGTCTGTGTAACATCTGTCTCCGAGATGGAAGTAAGGCTGAGAACAGGTGGGTCTGTATTGGCTGTAGGTGAGTGAGGTGATTGAACAAAACCTTGCGCTATATTAGCAACCGAGTCAACAAAGTAAAGGTTGAATGCTTCAGCCACAGCGGAGGGCTCACTTGAGAGACTGACATTAATTTTGATTTCCAATTTTTTGTTCTCTTTGGCTCGATGTCCTGTAATTTTCTTCAATTGATCCCAAATAGCTTTGGAGTTACCATTTGCCCCTTGTATTATGGTAAGGAAAAAATTAGCTTTAGCTTTCCTGATTGACCTAACTACCTTATTTCAAAACATAGCAAATAGACCACGATCATGGGTAGATTTAGATTTCACAGCTTTTTTAAAAGCCTGGTCTCGCTCTATTGTCACAGGTTTAAAAGACTCTGTTGAGGGGGTGTGATCAATAAAAGGCAGAAGGGGTAAAAAGGGGATTACATTTCATAAAATATTTACAAAAAGATTCATTAAAAGATTATAAAAACCCAAAGTCACTCGTCCATCCCCGCTGGCCCCCGCTCCTTTCCTCTGTCCCGGGACCGGGCCGCAGTCCCGCCAGCCTCTCGCCGACCACGGGTCGCCACCGGGCACTCGCGGGGGAGAGCCGGCACATCCCGGTTGTCCGTGGGCCTAGCCCGGGCGCGCCCGCGCCCCCTCACCGGTGCTGCTCTCCCCGCTGGCCTCAGTCCCCCGTGGTCTCTGGCTGACGGCGTTTGGCCCGGTCCGGTCTCGTCTTCCTCCTCTCGTGCTGTCCCTGTCTCTCTGTTCGCACTCCTTTTTGTGCTCCAGTGCCTGCCCCCAATTTCAGGTCTTGTTGATTAAAAACAAGTGTGGGTGATTAGGCGAAAGTGTCCAAGGAACTGATTCAAATGCATGCAATAAAACCATAAAAACACACAAAACACATCACAAAAATAAAAGCAGTTAAAATTCCTTATTAAAAGTTCACTTTCCCACAGTATTATGTCCGTGTTGATCCAAGGAACTGTATTTTTATGCGGTTTGAGCTTAATTTTCTGCGTGTAGTCCACAATTGTTAATAGTTAATCCATCCATTTTCATTTGGAGGACGAGAGAGTATGGAGATGTTCTTACCAGGCAACTTTCTTTCAGAAAGACTTTCAAAATGGAGTTGTGTGGTTTTTGTCACTTCTTGGGCCACTTCCCCCCAGAATACAGGGAGACTCTGGCTCTTATCAGTGCGAAAGAAGGGCTGCAAACATTGCAAGACAGAGATTACCCAAAATCATCACCAGTTTTGTGTCTCTATATGTCTCTAAGTCTCTATTTTAAAACACAATGCTAAAAGAGAGGGAGAGAGATTCTTCCATGTTCACCTTCGTTAGACATTTGGGGAAAAAGGGTGAGCTTAATTCTCGTGCTCACAGTGTGGAGATGTCAGTAAAAAGCGTCATAGAACAAAGACCAACCCTTAAAAAATATTCACAGAGATCAGAGAGAGAGAGATCAGAGAGGGAACCAAAGAGAGAGAGAGACCAGCGAGGGAACCAACTGCTCATATCAATTCAAATCTGTTCAAATCGTCCTCATTCACATTACATTTAACACTATGGTGATGTCACACCGTAAACTCCTGTCAATTATCATGTCCCTACATGTATGTCTGGGTCTGAGTGGCTGTCGATACCATTCAGCGAGCGCGGGAGTCGGGTGTTGTAGGTGGGTGTCGTGACGTCAAGAGTTTTTGCAGAATTTGCTGGTTGTAGTTTGTCAATGACGGCAAATGCGATAGTAAAGTATTCCGTTCTGGTTCGGCTCTTTCAGCCGAAGAAAGAGGAATGTTTTGCACGTTTCATTGCTGGCAAAGATGTTGTGGCTCTACTCCCCATGGGCTCTGTTAGTAAAGGAGATGGCTAAAGCTAGGCTAAATGCCTCAATAACTCGGGCGCATTGCATTTGTTACTGCAACCTCAGATACAGTCATTTCAATCAGCAAAAGGAGTTAACCTCTCCCACCTGTTAACGAAGCTCAATTGAGCAAATCCAGACCCAAGTACGAAATGAAATGAGATGGTGTGGTAAGACCAGGCTAGGTTGTACATGTATTCTGTTCTCATTCATGAATCCAAAATGTTATTAATAATACTAATAGAAATAAAAACAGGAATATGTTAAATACATATATGCAAATATATGTAATTTTTTATGTTTTGATACTGGAGTAGATTTTTGATAAATCCAATAAAAAAAATCAACCACAATGTGCCCCTCCCCGCTAAGTGTTTGTTATTTAAACATTTCCTGTGTTTGAACTCCTTGATTGTCTCATCTGTTTTCCATGAATCAACAATGTTGTAATGTCCTCTGAGACGACAGGGCGATACACAAATACATTGAGTTGATTGTTGTGCAGGTTTGAGGATGCGGTCCCTGAGGAAGACGGTGCTGCTGGTGCTGCTGGTGTCGGTGGTGCTGGTCCTCGCTCTCCTGCACTCCTGGCCCTCTCGTGGTTACTCCACGGTGGACGTGTGGCAGCGGCGCGGTGCCCTGCACCAGGATGACAGGTTCAACGACCACCATCTCAGCGCCATCCCCATCCGTGTCCGGGACTCTGTGGCTGGGTGAGACCTGGGTCTGGAGGCTTACTGTAGATACATAACCACAGTGGAACACATGTCCCCAGTCTGCACCAGATACAAATGTTACACAAGCTAAAAAGGACAAGAAACAAATGTTACTGTGTAAATCAATCAATAAAACGGTTTCAATACAAGTGCAGGAACATCACAGCTTTGTTCAGACAGAGCACCTCTCTCTGGTCTCTCTGCTTTCTCTCTCTTCTTTCTCTGTGGTCTCTCAGCTCTCTCTCTCTGGTCCCTCTCTAGTCTCTCTCTTCTCTGTCTCTGGTCCCTCTCTGGTCTCTCTTTGGTCTCTCACTGGTCTCTCTCTTTCTGTGTCTGCTGCAATATGTCTCTCTCGTCCTCAGGCTCTTGTCCCGGAACAGCTGTGTATGTGAAGGAGACAGTGGAGGCCTGAACCTGCCTTTCTCTCAGCTGCTGTTTCCCAGAGTCTCCGCTCACTCCCTTCACACCTCATTCAGACCCTCAGAGCTGGAGGAGCTCAAAAGGAGGCGTGCCCACGAGTTCGAGAGCTACCAGAGGAGGTGAGACCAGAGAGAGTGGCTAGAAAGAGTCCAGAAAGAAACCAGTGAGAGACCAGATACAGAGATCAGAGCGAGGCACCAGAAAGAGAGATCAGAGAGAGAGACCAGAGAGAGAACAGAGAGACCAGAGAGAGAACAGAGAGACCAGAGAGAGAGACCAGCGAGAGACCAGAGAAAGACCAGAGAAAGACCAGAGAAAGACCAGAGAAACTCCAGAGAAAGACTAGAGAGAGACCAGAAAGAGACCAGAGAGAGAGGCCAGAAAAAAAAGATTAAAATGATGAATAAACAATGTCACTTGTTACTGACTGTTGTTGTGTGTTTGGTGCAGAGCTCAGACGGCAGCTGACCTGCTCCTCATCGCTGAGGCCAACAGTCCACTGCAGTTCCCCACACAGGGAGTGGAGGTGCGGCCACTCAAGACCATCATCATCCCAGGTCACTACCAGAAAATAATAATAATAATAATAATAATAATAATAATAATCAAAAATCAAATGATTTTCTCTCAGGTCTGGCACTGCACGACAGCCCCAGAGACCTCTATACAGTAAGTGTGATTATCCTGCTCTTTTCAACCATACCTGAAGCTAAGCAAGGTTAGCACTATGATGGGAGACCTCTGAACACCAGGTGCCACAGTAGGGCAGCTGCGGCTGTGAAGGCAAGGTAAGTTTATTTCTATAGCACAATTAATGCACAAAGAAACACAAAGAGCTGAACAGAACAAGATAGAAACAGTCACACAAGGCATTAAAATCACAAATAATCAAAATAAGTTGTATGCACAGCTAAACAGAACTGTTTTTAACCTGGATTTGAACATTGACTGAGAAGAGGCCTGTTCACATATTCAGGAAGATTTTTTCCAGATTTTAGCAGCAAGAATCTGAAATTTAGTTTATAATTTTTCCTTTAAAGGAAACAAAGGAAATAAAGGCAGAACCAAAATGTGACAAGCCTAGTAGAATCACTCTTAATTTCCAGTTCCCTATTTCTTCTTTAATCAAGTCTCTTCCAGTCTTATTTTATGGGTTCAGCCTCCCCATGTTTAGTTCTCACTCTGGGCAGTAGCCCGTCCCTGTGCTCCTCAGAGTCCAGGCTGGTTCATATGGGACTAATATGGGACTATTGTATTTTGGTGCGAGGCTATGGAGAGACTAAGCATCCATCCATCCATCCATTTTCTTCCGCTTTATCCGTTGTCGGGTCGCGGGGGCAGCAGTCTAAGCAGAGACGCCCAGACTTCCCTATCCACACACACTTCCTCCAGCTCGTCCGGGGGGACCCCAAGGCGTTCCCAGGTCAGCTGAGAGACATAGTCCCTCCAGCGTGTCCTGGGTCTTCCCCGGGGCCTCCTCCCGGTGGGACGTGCCCGGAACACGTCCCTTGGGAGGCGTCCAGGAGGCATCCTGAACAGATGCCCGAGCCACCTCAACTGGTTCCTCTCGACGTGGAGAAGCAGCGGCTCTACTCCGAGCTCCTCCCGTGTGACTGAGCTCCTCACCCTATCTCTAAGGGAGCGCCCAGCCACTCTGCGGAGGAAGCTCATTTCGACCGCTTGTATCCGCGATCTCGTTCTTTCGGTCATTACCCAAAGCTCATGACCATAGGTGAGGGAGGGAACGAAGATTGACCGGTAAATTGAGAGCTTTGCCTTTCGGCTCAGCTCCCTCTTTACCACAACGGTCCGATACAACGACCGCATCACTGCGCACGCTGCACCGATCCGCCTGTCAATCTCACGCTCCATTCTTCACGCTCCATTCTTCCCTCACTAAGAATGGAGACTAAGCAGAGCTGTTTTAAAGTCTATTCTCTGAGCCACAGGAAGCCAGTGTAGAGACCTGAGAACTGGACTAATATGGTCGTACTTCCTGGTTCTAGTCAGGACTCGAGCTGCTGCATTTTGAATGTACTGCAGCTGTTTTACAGCCTGTTTGGACAGACCTGTGAGCAGGCCATTGCAGTAGTCTAACCTACTGGAGACAAATGCATGGATAAGAATCTCCAAGTCTGCTTTAGATTAAGAGATCCTTCATTCGTCCCACAGTGGGGAAATTTCTGTGGGGAATTTTAGACACTATGTTTTTGATCCTGGCAATGTTTTTTAGGTGATAAAAAGCGGCTGATGTTACTGATTTTGTGCAGCTATGAAAATTTAAGTCTGAGTCCAGTATTACCCCTAGATTTATGACTGATTATAAGGTTTTAGGGAGAGGGACAGGAGGTGACACAAGTCACTCTCTTTGTTTTTGAGGCAAAAAAAAAAATCATTCCGGTTATGTCTGTGTTTAGCTGAAGGAAGTTGTTTTGCATTCACTCACTGATCTGTTGGATGCAGTGAAGGAGTGAGTCCACTGGTCCATGTTCTCCTGCAGTAAAGTGTCAAACTGTGGTTGTGTCCTTAGGCTAGACACATTACCCACATCATAATGAGTCTGTGTGTGTATGATTTGTGGTGGTGGGAGGGGCCAATGGCACAGATTGGTTGCCTCTCTTCTGTCAGTGTGCCCCAGGGCAGCTGTGGCTACACAAAACATGTGTCCATTAATCACATTTTCCCGGAGAACAAACAAGTTACTGTCAGTTACTGATCTTTGTCTTATTAAAAGTACCTTCTAAGCCTTGACTTCCTTTGGTGTGTACAGGTGAACCTGACGGCTGGCCTTGGGACTCTGAACGTGGCGGCGGAGGTGGAGGCCGTGAGACTGAGAGGAGACGGCGATAGTCACATGACCATCACAAGCTCCGCCCTCAACAGCCTAAATCGACAGTTGCAGTTTGTGACGTACACAAACACACAGTTCCATCCCAGTACAGCTGACACAGGTGACGCCTCCCCTTTAAATACTTGTTAAATACAGATTTAAAGACTGTCTTAAATACTCTTTAAATACTGCCACAGGTGACATGACCTCCCCTTTAAATACTGCTGTAAGATCATAGGAAAACTAGGTGCTGCTTTTTGCATATGGGATTGTCAAGTTCAATTCAATTTATTTTTGTATAGTACTAAATCACAACAGTAGTTATCTCGGAGGAGTTTACAAACTGCCCTTGGTCTCAATAATGTCTACCTCTGGTCTCTCCAAGACGTCTGCCCCTGGTCTTTCCAAGATGTCTGCCCATTCAGATTAATGACCTGGTCTCGTTGGTTCATGCTGGTATCATGGACGTCCCAAAAATCAGCAGTGAGGTGTTCTGACTCTGGTTCTCCTGGTCCTGTGCAGTAGGTGCAGTGGTTCCACTGCTGCAGAACCAGAGGAACATGTGAGCGTTCCGACCAATCAGCGTACATGGTGAAATGTGGCTCCTCCCTCTGGCTCCTATTGACTTCCAAGGTCGCTCCAGGAGGGTGGCTCCATAAACGAGACCTGTGTGGTGTCCAGGTGTTGTGCTAAAACAGAAAAACATGGCCTCACATGAGAAACGTGCATAGTTTTCAGCCCAAACACACAAGCAAACAGGCCGGTCTTCTTGCTGGGCTACATTATTAGCCAACAATAGGCTAAGGGTCCCAGGATGACGTCGAGCTGACCATATCATTTATTTATTTGATGATTGGAACCGCTCCGGTTGTTGTGGTCTTTGAGTTTTTTTAAGTCCTGCTTCAGTTTTTAATAAAAAACTGTTAACAGCATTGTTTCAGAGAGTGATGAAGCCCCAGTGCATCAGGGTGTGCTGATTTGTCTTGAGTTCACCGCGATTATAAACTCCTTGTCCATCCTTCTGTTGTTGTTGGTTGTTGTTAGTGGTGTCTGCTAGGCTAATACTGCTAGATTTTTTAAAATGCCAGTTAGAAAAAAAGAGAGAGAGGTACATGATTTGAAAAAAAAAAAGGCGAGGCGAGGTGTGCAGAGAGGAGACAGAAAACAACCAGTGTCAACAATGGAGTTATCGGAGGTAGAAGGGACACGTAAAATGGGCATCTTCTGCTCTTGAGCTGAGTGTTTCCTCGGTTCATTCTCTGGTTTTTCTCTGTTCTCTTCCATGGCGGGACTTACCCGTAGAATATTTTATATCAACATTTAAGGCCAAGAGGTCAATTTAATACAATTCTTAAAATTTGTAATTCATTTAGAGTTCCAAACTAACACTTTAATAAACTCTTCAAACAAATGAGATAGCAGCAGACCAACGGCTCTATGTACTTTTGTTACTATTGCATTTCCTATGTTTGAACTTTTTGCTTCTTTTATCTGTTGTTGGTGAATCCACAACTTTGTAAGTCCTCAGAGACGACTGCTGATGTGATTTAGGGCGAGACACAAATTCATTTAATTGAATTGAAATAAGATCAGTGTTTCTCAGAAGCACACACGTGTGACAAAGGTTGCTGTCTGAATAAACTATTACCCTGATTATTACACATTATTGCACAGACGTGAGACATTGAGGTCGTGTCACAGTATTTCTCAATTTTCAAAAGCAAATGTTTCACATTTTTGTTATTTTTTTTTCATCTCCTTCAGTTCAATTTGAAACAGACCGACATCAGGCCTCATTCATCATCAAGATCCGACACAGCACCACCCCCAAACTATACAACACTGGATCTTCACAAGGTGAGAGAGACCATTGAGAGACCAGAAAGAGAGAGACCAGAGAGAGAGAGACTAGAGAGAGACCATAGAGAGACAGGAGAGAGAGACCAGAGAAAGAAAGACCAAAGAGGATTGAAGATTTTTCGTTTTGGGAAACTTCATCCTGTCTTTTCAGTAGAATTAAGTGATCTGGTTCTTGTATTCAGACAGTGATGTGTTACAGAAGAACTAACTTTATGTTTAATGTGTTAGAGATGTTAAAGTTGTTAAAGCTGTTGTCTCTATGCAGAGTACAACGTGAGTGCTCTGGTGACAATAGCCACAAAGACATTCCTTCGGTACGATAAACTTCAGGATTTGATTGACAGCATTCGGAAGTTCTACCCCACAGTTACCATAGTGATCGCAGACGACAGCGAGAATCCTCAGAGCATATCCGGACCCTTCATCGAGCATTACATCATGCCCTTCGGAAAGGTGAGGAGAGACCAGAGAGAGACAGAGAGAGAGACCAGAGAGAGAGAGACTAGAGAGAGAGACCAGACAGAGACCATAGAGTGAGACCAGAGAGAAAAACCAGAGAGAGACCAGAGATTGAGACCAGAGATTGAGACCAGAGATTGAGACCAGAGATTGAGACCAGAGATTGGGACCAGAGATTGAGACCAGAGATTGAGACCAGAGAGTGAGACCAGAGAGTGAGACCAGAGATTGAGACCAGAGATTGAGACCAGAGATTGAGACCAGAGAGTGAGACCAGAGAGTGAGACCAGAGAGTGAGACCAGAGAGTGAGACCAGAGACAGAGAACAGTGAGAGACCAGAGAGAGAGACCAGAGAGAGACCAGATATAGACTTCAGAGAGAGACCATAGAGTGAGATCAGAGAGAGATCAGAGAGAGATCAGAGAGAGACCAGAGAGAGACCAGAGAGAGAGACCAGAGAGAGAGACCAGAGAGAGAGACCAGAGAGAGAGACCAGAGAGAGAGGCCAGAGAGGTGAGATCAGAATTGTACAGTACAGAGTAGATGCAAACAGGGCTTCGATCTAAATCTGTCCAAGCCAGAAGAAGACATGAATGGTGCTTTGTCTCCTCCCTGGTCACTGATGATCTGTACATTCCAGGGCTGGTTCGCTGGGAGGAACTTGGCCGTGTCTCAAGTGACCACTAAGTACGTCCTGTGGGTGGATGACGACTTCATCTTCAGCTCAAACACCAAACTGGAGAAACTGGTGGACGTGTTGGAGAGGACCACCCTGGACCTGGTGAGATGCAACACCTCTGTTTTCTTCCAATCGGGAGGAAAGTAAACTCTAGCTCAGTAACTCTTTGTGTCACACTCACCATTTTGGGATTGAGGATATAAGGACTGACCAATCAAAGGCCTTCAATCACGGGGAAATTCCAGCTTGTCTTAGCAACCGTCTTAGCAACACATCAGCCCCTGTTTTACTGTGCAAAGCTAGCGCAGAAAACTGGCTCTAGCGAGGGTATGTTCATATTGACCCTTTCCACTCCATACCACTGTGCTGAACTACTACTGTACAAAAACAGAGACGTAGTAATAACAGATTAAGAAATACTTCCAAATTTAGTCTTTTATATTCAAACAGAGACACAGCTACTCCTGACATGTAGTCATCCTGCTGGGACTGTGAGGAGCACAGGGACTGGCCTACTTCTGGTCCCATAGTGAGGACTAAACATGCAGAGACAGCATTTCAGATTTATGCAGCTAAGGGGTTGCCCCGCCGGACAAGCTACCAGAGACCGCTGCACCACAGTTCCGAGCAGCCGCGATCGCCGATATAGGAAGAGAAATGGTCCACTCATACTCCTATGTCCCCCCCTCCGCCGGACCTGGGAGAAGCTCTCATCGGAGATGTGAGTTGAAAGTCCCCCTGACAGGGGGCTCAGCGAGCCGTTCCCAGCATGTACCCTCACTACAACGCTTTGGGTCTGCCAGGTCTGACCGGCTTCCCTTCCCCCTGCCAGCAGATCCAACTCACGACCAAGGTGGTGATCGGTTGACAGCTTCGCCCCCACTCTTCACCCGAGTGTTCTCGAGACACGCGCCCAGAAGTCTGATGGACGACACAAAGTCTATCATCAACCTCCGGCCCTAGGGTGGTCCTGTTGCCACGTGGGCACTGGTTGACACCCTTGAAAGCCGAACATGGTGGTTCGGATGGGACCAAACTGGTGACTAGCTACATCCATCCATCCATCCCATTTTTCTTCCCCTAATCCTTTCTGTGGTCCGGGGGGGGTGGCAGTCAGTGCTGCACCCAGTCACAGAGCACCACCCCTCACTGATCCTCCATGCAGGTGGGGAATCCCCATGAGCTAGATCTGTCGGGCGGGGGCTTCAGGCAAAGTGGGGGGTAAGGTGCTTGCCCAAGGGACACAACGACAGCCGTCATCAGTGGTAGTCGGAAGTAGTCTTGAGGTGGGCTCGAACCCACGACCTTCAGGCTCAAAGGCCAATGCTCTAACCAACCTGAGCTAACTGTCGCCCCTGTGACTAGTACAAGAAGACCATAACTGAATCAATGCTCGGTCAATCGAGGGGGGGGCGTTTCTTCCCGATCACAGGCCCTCTCCGTCCTTCCCACAAAAAAAAATGGGGTTTGACGTCCCCCAGGAGAATAATGGATTACCCGTTCGGTGCAAACCGGTCCAGTACCATCCCCTCCCAAGGAGCCAAGATGGCCAAGTACTCTACACTGCTGTTTAGGGCTCCCGTAGGCCGTCCACGACAGTGAGAGACTTGTCCCCCACCCAAAAGCGGAGCGTCGAGTTCCCCGCTACCACACACCCATCCCTTCGGGCTGCGCCCGGCCGGGCCCCCGTGGATACGGCCCGCCACCAGGCGTCATCACAAGTCTCGAGCCCGACCCCAGGCCTGGCTCCAGGTGGTGCCCCCGTCTGCGCCCCAAAGCTGGGCAAGGTCATCCGGGGTATCTTGTTAATAGTGCTGTCCAATGTCATGGGTTTAGTTTGAGTCAAAGAGCTGAGTAACGACAGAGTGGGAATAAGCACTGTACTTATTTTATTTAATTTTTACAAAGTTATTTTATAGACCTTTTTAACCAAACAATCAAGTCTTTTAAGTTATTTTAATATCACAATTTCAGACGATGGTGGCAAAAAGTTGGTCTGTGGAGAAAGGTTCGCCTCTGAAGATTATTGCGGGTTTATTACTTTTTTTGCTATAATTATCTGTGAAAACCTGTAAACAAATGTATCATTATGTACAAATTGCCAAAATTACGGTTGTTTATGTAATCACGAACTTATTTGTCATTTGTCCAATAGCAACATCTGAGAACAAAGTCTTGCCAAATGGACTGGTTGAGGCCATGCCCTATGCTGTAACTGGCCTCGTAAGAGGGTATTGCACTTTTTCAAAACGGTTTTTCCTTCACTACTTAAACACACTAAAATTTTATTATTGACGTTTGTGACTTAATAGCTGATGAGCCGGGGCCCAGCGTGTGAAAATGGTGCTTCTCTGAATCCCTGGGGGGAAGGTGAAGTGGGCAAGGTGACTGGAGCGATCGGTTAAGAGCAACAGCAGATTAAAGACATAACAACACTGGTATTATAAATAGAACTTTTCCATGTTACTTTTCTGTGCTACAAGCAATGGGAAACTAATAGAGGTTGCACCGATCGATCGGTAGCCGATTATAATCGGACCCGAATCACCTGCTAAGTTTGCATGATTGGTGAAATGTCCGATCAAAAAGACCGATCAGAATGACATGAGGGTTTCTTGCCACAACACGTTACGTTCTCGCAGTCGTCAAAAAACATACAAACTGCGTAAACAAGCAACTCATGCAGCTATCCAAGTAACGGAGATTCTACCTGCAGCAACAACCACAGAAAACAGTAATGACGTAAGAAAGACACAAAATATGCACGAAAGTTATGGAATATATTCCCCACCAGCGCTTGTCTGTTGCGGAAAGCGCTGGGTTCTAACACTCAAGTTCCACACGCTTCCAATATGTCCCATCGCGGAGATATCTGACTGATGTCTGCTTGCTGCAGCGTTACCAACTGTATATTCTCACATTACACTCCAGAGAATGGATCTATTATAATAACGAGCCAGATTCACACCGCGAGGGCACTCTTTAGATAATAAAAAGTAATAAATCACTGACCACTATAGAAGTGTAAATGTTGACCATTTGCCTTACTGTGTTCACAGTTTTATTCCTGAGAATGAGAATAGACATGGAGCAAAATCCCACTGATAATGAGAGTGTAATACCACAGAGAGATTTATTAGGTTAAAATGTATGTTTAAGAATATGGCTCAATAGAAGCAAATATGCAAACATATTTGTAAATAGATTAGAATAGTTTTAAACTATAGTGATAGTAAAAGTAAAGTACACAGTCTAAGATTGATAAGTGAAAATAATAAAGTGAAATAAGTGAAGTGTAAACAATTAGCATTAGAATAAAAGTATAGAGTAATAAAAGTGAAATTAGCTTCTAATTTGAGACTCAGCTCGTTTTTGTCTGTGTTTTGACTGAATTTGCTGAGTTCTTGTGTGTCCAATAGTTTTTGTTTGTTTTTATTTGTTTGTTTTTATTTTTGATTTGTTTTTGTTGTTTTTTGTTTATTTACTTTATTTTTGTTTTTTATTTTTTCCCAGGATAGAGGATAAAATCCACTGATATTGATTGGATGATTATGAGTTTAATGCATACATTTTCTTTGTTTTTAATAATTTTTAAAGTTTTTTTTTTTAGGAATTTTTTTTTCTTCTTTTTTCACTTTATTGATTGATCAAATTGAGTGATCACATGTGATTATGTGATCAAAGGGGAGGGTGTTAGTATTAGATAGCAATATGGCCTACGTGCAGGACTGTACAAGGACTCTACAAGGACTCCATGTTATGACTATGATGTGACTGTCTCTTTGTGACACGTATGTCTTTCGATGTGTGACGTGACAATGACTATATAAACTGTGTACTGCCTTTATTCTGTCTGAGAGAAAGAAACAGAGTAAACCAGTGGAACTTGAGAGCAACTTAAATAAACTTCCAGAGTTTGGCGCACCACGATCCGTCTCTGTCTGCTTAAATCCTAACAGATCTTTGAATGATCCAATGTTGTCCTAAATGACTGATGATGATAAATAGAATGCACCTGTGTGTAATCAAGTCTCCGTATAAATGCACCTGCTCTTTGATAGTCTCAGGGTTCTGTTTAAAGCGCAGAGAGAACCATGAAGACAAAGAAACACACCAGGCAGGTCCGAGATACTGTTGTGGAGAAGTTTAAAGCTGGATTTGGAAACAAAAAGATTTCCCAAGCTTTAAACATCTCAAGAAGCACTGTGCAAGCAATTAAATTGAAATGGAAGGAGTATCAGACCACTGCAAATCTACCAAGACCCGGCCGTCCCTCCAAACTTTCATCTCAAACAAGGAGAAGACTGATCAGAGATGCAGCCAAGAGGCCCATGATCACTCTGGATGAACTGCAGATAACTACAGCTGAGGTGGGAGAGTCTGTCCATAGGACAACAATCAGTCGTGCACTGCACAAATCTGGCCTTTATGGAAGAGTGGCAAGAAGAAAGCCATTTCTCAAAGATATGCATAAAAAGTCTCGTTTAAAGTTTGCCACAAGCCACCTGGGAGACACACCAAACGTGGAAGAAGGTGCTCTGGTCAGATGAAACCAAAATCAAACTTTTTGGCCACAATGCAAAACGATATGTTTGGCGTAAAAGCAACATAGCTCATCACCCTGAACACACCATCCCCACTGTCAAACATGGTGGTGGCAGCATCATGGTTTGGGCCTGCTTTTCTTCAGCAGGGACAGGGAAGATGGCTAAAATTGATGGGAAGATGGATGGAGCCAAATACAGGACCATTCTGGAAGAAAACCTGTTGGAGTCTGCAAAAGACCTGAGACTGGGACGGAGATTTATCTTCCAACAGGACAATGATCCAAAACATAAAGCCAAATCTACAATGGAATGGTTCACAAATAGACGTATCCAGGTGTTAGAATGGCCAAGTCAAAGTCCAGACCTGAATCCAATCGAGAATCTATGGAAAGAGCTGAAGACTGCTGTTCACAAACGCTCTCCATCCAACCTCACTGAGCTCGAGCTGTTTTGCAAGGAAGAATGGGAAAGAATTCCAGTCTCTTGATGTGCAAAACTGATAGAGACATACCCCAAGCGACTTGCAGCTGTAATTGCAGCAAAAGGTGACGCTACAAAGTATTAGCGCAAGGGGGCCGAATAATATTGCACGCCCCACTTTTCAGTTTTTTATTTGGTAAAAAAGTTTAAATTATCCAATACATTTCGTTCCACTTCACAATTGTGTCCCACTTGTTGTTGATTCTTGACAAAAAATTAAATTTTTGTATCTATATGTTTGAAGCCTGAAATGGGGCGACATGTTGAAAGGTTCAACATTACTTATTACAACGAATACTTTCGCAAGGCACTGTATATACGTACGTGTGTGTCTTCTTCTGTGGCTGCAGGTGAGCTGTCTGGGGGTGGAGCTGCTCGACGAGGACCCCTGCTGTCTGGTACTGACGTCGCGCGGCACAAACTGCTCCGTAACGCGGTTCTTAATGAGCGCCGCGACCGCAGAAGTGGTCAGGGCCTGGAGCAATGATGTTCTGCAGATCCTGGAGACACAGAGGAACTTCCTCAATGGTAACTGTGAACCACAAGCTTCTACAGCCTCAGTCCTGGCTCTACAGCCTCAGTCCTGGATTTACAGCCTCAGTCCTGGATTTACTAGCCTGACTCTCGCCAGACCCATGTAGTTGCACTTCACACATGAGTCTGTTACTGAGCCATAGTGGTTGGATTTCAAAGGGCAGGGCCTTGTAAAAAAAATTCTTGTATGTGATTGGGTAGACCACTTGTCCGTTATCTTGGATGAAGTCTACTTTCAACCACTCACATCGAAGCACACGGCTCCCATAGGTTGCCAAATCCAAGCAAGATTTTCCAACCCAAAATCCGCGAGAATACCCAAAAAAAAAAAAAAACTACTAATAAAACGTAATGTAATCAACTTGGGCTATCATGATTCTGTTTATTGTCTTTCTGTTTATTTAATACCTACAAGTCTCTTGGAAAAAAATATGCGGGAACCACCAAACCTGGCAACCCTGCTGCATAGTGTGTAAACAGGAACACTGAACCAGTGCTTCAACCAAACTTTACAGGAACATTTGACTCTTAAAACACACATATATCAACATAGAACCATCAACATCTCGCCTCAAATTGCATTAAAAGTGACATCCGTGTCTTAATTCGATCGTATTTACTCTTTTAAAAAGATTTGCGGACTTTACGTCCGCCATCTTGGATTCCGCTGCATGAGAGAATCTTGAGAAGGCAGTGCAAACCCCATGTAACACCGGCAATCCTGATTGGTCGATTAAAAAATAATCTGGGGAAGGCGTTTGCTATGGCGTCGATACCAGACCATTGGGGGCGGGTCCCAGCTCAAAAGTGGCTAAAATGACGTGCGCTGACATGCTTGCAATACCACCCCGGTCCGATGGGGTGGACCAGAGACTGTAGATATTAACGGACAGAGTCACGCCTATCTCCGCCGTTCTAACTAATGGGCCAAAAAATGTGCTCTACTGGAGCTACCCAAAATGGCCGCGAGTGGTCCCGCCCACAAGAAAATTGTGAAAAAACGCATCTGCGCATGCGTCAGCCGGCGCAGCTCCATTCATTTGAACGAGAGACTTCAAATATTCACAGCAAGTAAACTAGAGTGGACCAAAAAAATCTACCCCCCTCAGCATTGACACACATGTGGAACGGAGCTTTGGGCCAAGAGCCAACTTTTGGTCCATCCTGTAAAGACGTTTTTGAGAGGTCTGCCAATGCTATATGTTAGCATTGGCTAATTCTTCTTCTGGGTCCACCCCCATCGGCCCGGGGTGGTATTGCAAGCATGTCAGCGCACGTCATTTTGGCCACTTTTGAGCTGTCACCCTCCCCCACTGGGGTGGACCCAGAAGAAGAATTAGCCAATGCTAACATATAGCATTGGCAGACCTCTCAAACGTCTTTACAGGATGGACCAAAAGTTGGCTCTTGGCCCAAAGCTCCGTTCCACATGTGTGTCAATGCTGAGGGGGTGGATTTTTTTGGTCCACTCTAGTTTACTCGCTGTGAATTTTTGAAGTCTCTCGTTCAAATGAATGGAGCTGAGCTCAGATGAATGCGCAGATGCGTTTTTTCACAATTTTCTTGTGGGCGGGACCACTTGCGGCCATTTTGGATAGCTCCAGTAGAGCACATTTTTTGGCCCATTAGTTAGAACGGCGGAGATAGGCGTGACTCTGTCCGTTAATGTATACAGTCTATGTACCAGACCCATGTGGTTCAGCCAAACGCCTCTGGTGGAGCATGGCGGAACTACAAGGGTCTGGCAGAGCCAGGCTATGGATTTACAGCCTCAGTCCTGGAGATACAGCCTCAGTCATCCCGCTCCTTGTGGGCAAATGTCTCTATGTGCATACTCTGTGTTTGAACTGTTTGATTCTTTGATCTGTTGTCGCTGAATAAAAGTACTTATTTTATCTGCTCCTGGTGCAGCTCTTCAGTCTCCAATCGAGTACCAGCGGTCATGCAGTTTGGGTCGCAGCTCGAAGCCTCAGACCTTGTCCACCACTGACCTCAGACCTCACTCCTCCAGCTCCATGGACCGACACCAGAGCCTCCTGTTCTACAACACTTCACTACCGATGCTGCACCCACACTGCCCTGCCACCAAAGCAGTGAGTCTCTCCTCCTCCTTCCTTGTGGTCATTGCTCTCCCCCGGTCACTAAAGGTGTATGTCCAAACACTTTAGTAAGAGGTGTGGAAAATGAATCACACAGAAACGGATCGTGGCGCACCAGAGCTTCAGGAGTTTATTAGGTTTCCTTCAGGTTCCAGTTGTTTCAATTTTTTAGACAGAACAAAGTCAGCACATGGTTTTTATAGTAATTGTTACGTCACACATCGAAAGACATACGTGTCACATCCAGAGACAGTCAGAGCATATCATAGTCATAACATGAATACACAATCAGAGTCCTTGTAGAGTCTTGCGTTTGTCCACCTGCTATCTATCCACCATAGAGGGCCACTTAATTTAAATTTAATTTAAATCTAATGTATTAGTTTATGGCTGGTGCTATGAGACTTGGGTGGCATCTCTGACTGCCACCCCCCTGACCCAGAAATGGATTAAAGGGTAGAAAATGGATGGATGGATGGATGGATGGTATTAGTTTATTTGACAGGGAAATTGTGCATTAATAAAACATTGCTGTAAATGCACCAGAATTAGCCAAGCAGGCTATTTTTCATCTGCAATCCCTGGACAGGTGTACATAGTCTCCCTAAAGATAGTAACTCAAACTGACCACGCCCATTGGCCCCTGGACTAGTTTGTCAGACTAGTCCAGGGGCCTATGTCACAAACTGAAAAACTGTCTTGACTGGCATTGGGCTGTTCTGAGCTTTAAAATGATCTATAACAGAGCTGGAGTTGGCTTAATGACAAATATTTATCATCTCACCAGCTACATTAGAACCATTAACAAAAGTGACACATTCAAAAAACACGCATTTGTATAGTATGTACAAATAAAGTCAACGACTGAATTCCAGACGTACTGAGTTTTAGAACATGTGTATTTTGTGCATTTACAACATGTGTATTTTGGCTGAGCTGAAGTTGGATGGGTTAGAAAGGCAGAGGGCCACATAAAATGACACTGAGGGCTGCAATCGGCCTCAGTCCTGGCTCATGTATAGATGTAAATATTTGCATATATGTTTTTTCAAACTTTAGTAAATAGCACTTTTTGGAAGTGGGGGTGTTAAGACCAGAAGTCCTGGCCTGCGGTGCTGGCTTGCGGTGCTGGCCTGCGGTGCTGGCCTGCGGTGCTGGCTTGCGGTGCTGGCCTGCGGTGGTGCCTGCTGGAAGTGGCGGACGGACTTTGATGCTAACAGAGTTAAGCTAGCGGCTTTTTGTGTAAAGTTCTTCTCCAATGATGCAGCTCTGTAGCGTCTCTGTGTCCAGAGACCTTCCAGAGACTTTATATAACAGCAGTTTGTGTTCACCGAGGTGCGCCATAAGATTTTCTTATTATTAAACTGTACTTCCGCATCAGCAAACACGCTCGAAGCAGTTGTATACAGTCACAGGAGCGTGAGAACGCATATGTTCAGAAGCACTGTGTCCCCCTTTGTCAACCCTGGTTTAGTCCTGGTGTAGCTCCTGTTTTGGCTGTTTATTTCAGTCTGCTCACTCAGACCGCTAATGTCCCCGCGACGACTTTGCGGCTCTCTGATTGGTCGCTGCACGAGCGTCCTGAGGAAACGTTTAGCAATGTTTATCTCCTGCGTGCTTCAATTTTCCGCTCTTGCACCTCTGCTGCGCATTCAGTGCATCTCTACCACGCAGTCCCTGCGTGCATACTGAGACGCACATGCAGTTTCACGCTCGAACGCGCGTCACCATTACCTTTCCATTGAAAGTCGCCACAACGCATCATCCGGTCTGAACGAACGCGGCATTACTCACACAGACACACATGCACGCACGCACACACACACACACACACACACACACATACACACACACCATCCCATACTCACAAAGACACACATATCTCTGCTCAGCCAGATTTATTGTAAATGTCACACGGCAACATGATAATGACAGAAATTGACTCCTACAGTACAAAAGGACTTGACTTGACTCTCCCCGGTTTGCGGCCATTTCCACCGGCTAGCTTCAGTCGCTACTCAGTACTTTTTTAGTAACAGCTTGGCCCTGTTTCTAGTCGGGCCGAGTAGATACCAAAACAGGCTGACGTCGGCGAATGTCAATTCTGATTCCGAAATGAGTGCATTAATCAGATACTAAAGATATTGCGCTATAAATAAGTCAGTGTTGTTTATTACATAATTATATTTCTTCTTTTGCAATTTAAATTTTTTTTAAAGATATTTTTGAAGGAGGCCAGTCCTTTTGCTCCTCAGAGTCCCAGCAGGAGGCCAGTTCCTGTGTTTCTCAAAGTCCCAGCAGGAGGCCAGTCCCTGTGTTCCTCAGAGCTTCTTCATATGGCACTAACATGTCACAGATGTACCTTGGTGTGAGATCATGGAGAAACTGGTTGTTAGCAGAGTCAATTTCCCAGCGCTTCCAACTTGGCATAAGACACAGCACACAACACGTCTTTTCTCTTTGTGGTGTGTTTCACCGCACCCACACCATATTTATTGATGCACGTGTTGCTCATCAGCAATCAGTCAGTCAGTCACATGATCAGCTTTGCCACTGATGTTTAACTTGTTAACATAAACAATATTTTGCATACATCAAATCATATCATAATGAGAGCATATCTCAACACCCCCACTTGCTCACATTTGAAGAGTCTTTTCAACTTTAACATTGAACATTACAATTACATACCAAACATAAACATTTCAAATTTCTTTAGTTTTTGTTGAGTTGCAGGCTTGGTCAGTACATCTGCAATCATTTCATTGGTTGGACAGTACAGTAGTCTTGTTTGATCACCATCCAACGTAGACCTTACAAAGTGATATTTGATATCCACATGTTTACATCGCTGCCGATGAACAGGGTTCTTAGCTAAAGCAATAGTGCCCTGATTGTCCTCATAAACAATAGACTTGTAAGTCTGACCATCAAAACAGTTCAAAAAATGTTTCAAATATAGACACTCTTGCATGGTTGCAGCTAAAGCCATAGCTAAAGCAATAGTGCCCTGATTGTCCTCATAAACAATAGACTTGTAGACCTGTTTCCATGAGATTATTGGACCATTTTTGTTTAAACTGATACAGTAACCTGTAGTGCTTTTTCGATCACCAATATCAGCTGCCCAATCAGAATCACTGTACGCATAGATTAGGTTCTCATCTTGGTATTTTCTGAAACATAGGTCTTTGTTTTGAGTACCTTTCAAATACCTTAAAACATGCTTTACAGTTGTCCATTGTTCAGTAGTTGGTTTGGTAAAATACTGAGACAGTTTTCTCACCACGAAGCTTAAGTCTGGCCTTGTACAGGTTGTCAGGTAGATTAAGCTACCAACTGCCTCTCTGTATTTTCTCACATCATCCATTATTTCAGCATCATCACTGTAGTCAAGTTTTTGTTCACATGGGGTTGCTCTAGGCTTACAGTTTAAAATGTCAAATCTTTCCAGTATCGTATGTACATACTTGTATTGTGACATCTTCATACATTCAGCACTTTGGTCAAAGTCAATACCTAGAAAATGTCTCAGTTTACCCATGTCTTTCATCCTGAACTTGGAACTTAGCTTTTCTTTTACACCTTTTATGACATCATCATCATTAGCGGCAATAATCAAATCATCAACCCATATGAGAATGTGAACTTTGTCATTGTCATCAGTTTTGCTGTAGACGCAATGATCAGCTGGATTTTGCACAAACTGTATTTCACACAAATAATCATGCAACATTTTGTTCCAGTTGCGCCCTGACTGTTTTAATCCGTACAGGGACTTATTCAGTTTACATACCAGTTTGTCTCCATTAAATCTTACTTCATAACCTTCAGGTTGTTCAATATAAATGTCACACTCAATTGGTGCATGTAAATATGCTGTTTTTACATCCATCTGGTGAACAATCAAATTGTCTTGTACTGCTTTCTGTGCCAACAGCCTGATGCTGGTCATACTGGCTGTAGGAGAGAAAGTCTCGTCATAGTTAACACCCTTCTTCTGACTGAATCCTCTGGCAACATATCTCGCCTTGTATCTGTCTGAACCATCATTGTTCTTCTTCATTGCATACACCCACTTACCCCCCACTACATCATTGCCCTCTGGTAGGGTGGTCAGGGTAAATGTTGAGTTGTCTTTCAAAGATTGAACTTCCTCATCCATTGCTTCAGTCCAGTAATTTGCATTTATTGAGGCAACAGCTTCGTTATAAGTCTGTGGAACATTGCACAAAAGTCTGTAACAGTAGTCAATATTTGCGTCATCATCCTCAAACCCGCAAGCACGGTCACCATAATAGTCGGGCCTTTTTCTTTCTCTATCAGGGTAGCGTCTCTCTTTGGGTTTGTCTTTTTCTTCAACTTTAACTGTTTCAGTATCACACTCCTCTGTCTCGGTTTCTGAGTGCTCTTCAGTTATTTCTGGACACGGGGTTTTTACAGTTTGTCTTTCAATCACTATATCATCATCGTCAGCATCCAGTACTTCCTGATTCAATCTGGATACAAACTCCACAAGTCTGTGCTTTTGTACTTTTCTGTTGCTGGGATAGTACACCAAATAGGCTGGACTATTCTTGTCGTATCCAACAAAAACGCCTTTCTCACATCTAGAGTCCAATTTCCCTTTATCCTGTTTGTAAGCATAACACACCTGCCCAAACTTCTGCATTCTGGCAAGATTTGGCTGTCTGCCTGTTAACATGTAGTAAGGAGTCTGTTTAGTGCGATTGTTAAAGCACCTATTCCTCACCACAGCAGCTGTCTGGACAGCATAGGTCCACAACATCTTTGGCAGCCCACTCTCTATGAGCATACACCTGGCCATTTCAAACAGGGTTCTCCAGTTGCGTTCATCAGTACCATTTTGGTGTGGAGAATATGGGGCTGAGGTTTCATGCCTAATACCACTCCTGCGCATCAAAGCTTGGTACTCTCTGCCGGTGTACTCTGTACCATTGTCAGATCTCATTAATTTTATTCTGCCATGAGGC